AGACACATTAGCAGCATATTCTTGTTAGAAGCAACTTGGCTGAAAGCATTAACATTTTAAAATTGACATTTTTTTTTTTAGGACAATGAAAAGCATCTTAATCTTGACCTAGTAGTTATGATTGTACAGTCGTATTATAGAACTGACGATGAACAATAGCATGAGAAATAGAGAAATCAGGAACATACTTCATTCTTTTTAATGTCTCAATTCACTTTATCATCACTTAAGCCTTTTTATCCTTGGACTTTTATAACTTTAATTCGTACACTTTACATTACCATCTTAGACCTTCCATTCTCAGACCTTCATAACTTGCATTTATCTACCGTGTTAGACCTTTCCATCCTCAGACCTTCGTAACTACATTCCCAGACCTTCATAACTTCCATTTATCCACCATGTTAGACCTTTCCATCCTCAGACCTTTGTAAGTACATTCTCAGACCTTTGTAACTACATTCCCAGACCTTCATAACTTACACTTTCCTGTCTTCACATAGATAAACCCTAAAATACCTGTTCCTGAAATCTGTTTTGCTTTAAGCTGGCAAGACTACCAGTTGTCAAAAGCATCAGAGTTCTTGAGAAGGATAATATTTTACCTGAATCAGTGATTAAAGAATAACAGAGACTTGCCAGCAGGGTGCATGGACAGCCACCCGCAAGGTCCTCCATCCATAATAGCGGGCTGCAGGACACCTGCTTTTTTGCTGATAGCATGTGACCTGTGGATTACAGACTATAGGAAGACTCGCCTACCGTTGGCCCAAGCAACGCGGGGAAAGTCGATTCCACTGTCATCTTGTCCACGGTCTAGAGTACTTTGTAGCAGTTGAGGTGAAGGGCAGGATTGCTCAGTGACTAGTGTTGTCACTGACTTGAGATGAAGTTTCTTCTGTGCCCATCAGTCTTTTTGAGGAAAAGGGGTGAGACCAGCAGCTGGCCTATCTCTTCTGTCTGTTATAAAAAGCTTTTTAACAAAACGTTTTAAATGCCATATTCTCTAGATCTTTGAGTATTTGAGGACTGTCTGTTTAGTATCTCAGCAGTTAAAAGTTTGCCTTTAGTTAGAGAAAAATCCCTTTTTGTAATAAAGAAGGTGTACCTTTGTAAACAGCTTACAGGATGAACTGAGTAGTATAAATATTTTGTTAATTTGAAATAGATCTTTGTGATTTTAAACTTTCATCATCATTTAAAGATTCATGAGTTAAATTTAAGTTGTATAGACTTAGCTTATATTTTAAGTATAGTTAAATTAGACCTTTATGATTTTAAATTTGTACCATCATTTAAATATACATAGCAATTTAGAAATATGAGACTTAGCACAGTTTAAGTTCCATATAGAGTTAGATAAGTATAAAGTTAAATTACAGGTACAGCTGGAGTGGGCGTGTCTACAGGTAGGTCACATGACCAAGATGGCCGCCCCCAGGTCAGTCCATATGGCCAAGATGGCGGCGACCATAAGCCACTTTTTTGTCTGTTTACCTGCTTGTTGGCTGCAACCAGAAAGGTTCCTCTATGCATTTCCCATGGGTAAGGCAACTGGAAAACCGGCAAAAAGCTCCTCTCCGGATGCACGTCTGCCCGTGGGAGTTGCCAGGGGCCTGGCCCCGGAGGGACACAGCTGTCCCGAAACCGAAAAAGGACCCAGTGGTCCGAACTGAAAAAGCAAAAAGCAAAAAAGCACCGCTCCCAAGGCTGGAATCCCAAGCCTGACCTATGGGAGATGCACCCAACAAGTGAAAGAAATCAGAGACAAAAAATCTGGCAGCAGTGCTTGCCTGTGCAAGTCACTGAACTGAGTGGGCAGGCATAAGCTAGGTCACATGGTCAGGATGGCAGCTCAGACCACATGGCCACTGGGAGGCAGAACTCTGCTCATTTACCTACTCACTGGCAGTAACCGGATGGTACTGTATTTCTCGTGGTTGAGGCCAAAAATGGCACAGGTTGCTCTGTCTGAGAGCACCTGGCAGAAAGCCTGAAAGAGGCTCAGCAGTCCAAATGTGGAAAAAATGTACCCAGTAGACCAAAAGGCAGTGAACTCCAAAATGGAGTGCTGGATCTGCCCCGTGGGAAAAGGGATATCTTACTGGATGGCAGTGAACAGGCAGATGAGTGAGTTCCAGGGATCCTTAGTTTGAAAAGTGGCGAGTTGAAGTGTACAGAGTTCCGGCATCTCAGGCTGCTGCAGGCAGGAGGAAGTGCCAGGAAAAGCCGAGATGGAAGTGGGTTATGAATTCAGATTTTAGGATCCACGGAATTTCCTGTGCCCCTGGCAGGAGAGGTTAGAGAGAAAGCAAGCAGCGAGAGAGTTTATGGAGAGAGCCTAAACCAAGTCAGGCGCCAATGTTATGTTTTTATTTAAAAGGAGGAAAAGAGAAAGCTGCAAGATAAGACATGTTAACTAGTTTATTATATGGCCTGGCAGAGTAGGGAGACTAAGAGAGAGGAGGAACAGGGGTAATGGCTGACCGCCATAGCCGGTCACCATAGAGAGTCAGAGAGAGCGCGTAGGTGAGAGAGAGCCAAGAAGAAACAGAGAGAGTAGAGAAGCGATATAAAGAGAGGAAGCAGAGAGCGAGATACATTCTTATTGTGCAATTTCAAGTAAAATTTTATTAATAGCTACTGTTCCATTGGTGACGAGGGCCTTTTTACTCCTGGGTACATCTTTGGACTTGCATATTTTTGATTATGCAAGAGTCAAAACTCTAAAGCGCAGCATTTTGCTAACAATATTATAAATAGCCATTAGTTCACAGAGATGAAAGAATGGTCATAAATGAGAATGGTGTAAGGATCCTTCAAGCCTCCTGGCTTAGGGTTTTTATTGCTGTGCAGAGACACCAGGACCATAGCATCTCTTACTTATAAGGAAAACATTTAATTGGTGTGGCTTGCTTACAATTTCAAAGATTCAGACCATTATTGTTATGACAGGGAGCATGGTGTCTTGCAGGTAGACATGGTGCTGGCTATCTCTTGATCATAAGGCAACAGGAAATGGTCTCAGTGTGACACTGAGCGATGCTTGAGCAAAAAAAAAAAAAAAAAAAAAAACCCTTAAAGCCTGTTCCACAGTAACACACTTCCTCCAACAAGGCCACACCTGCTCTAACAAAGCCACACCTCCTAATAGTGCCACTCCTTTTAGGGGCCATTTTTCTTTCAAACCACAACACCTCCCCTCCTTATTTTATTGAGTGGGTATTGGTCGATCTTCCATACTCTTTGCTTGGGGCCCTGTCTCAGGAACAACGTCTGGCGCCATGTGTCTTAGTCCTTGGGAGAGAGTTGGGGGCCTTAGGAAAGGCGTAGAGTCATGGTGTTTGATTGAAGACCAGAGTGGCATGGAGAGCTGGGTGGAGCGGTGTCAGGGAGGCTGTTTGGCTACTTCCTATTCCTTAAGATCGTTTGTAAGATTCTAATCTAACTTTTTATGGCTAGGAACAGAGTTGCTGAACCGGCTAGCCACCCTATGTCCTAGGCCTTATTTTGTCTGCTGAGGGGGTCTTCTTTATCCTGCCCTTTCAGCTGGCAGCCTTGTAGAATTTGGCTTCTGCTCCTTGAGTAGTAGGGACCTTTTAGAGCTATGGATCCTGTTGTTGTGAAGTCATGGGCTAGGGGTGTGTGTAGGCGGGATCAAAGCTGGAATTGGGGAACCTGTCGGAGACTGTTGGGTTCTGGTAGTTTGAACAAAAGTGATGGTGAAGGTGACAGGAAGTGACTCAGGGACTGACTGAACAGACCCAGCATTTGGATGTGGAATGTGTGGGTACTTGGCCATAGCCAGATGTCATGGTTTTGACCCCAGGCCACTTGCTGATTATGTTCTTCCCCCCATTGACTGAGATGGGGACAGCATGCTGTTGGGAGAAAACATATGCTCACTTGAATATTGTGAAATGGTTTTGTGTGCCAGGTTGTGGTGTTGGTGGTGTTGGTGGGAGTTGGTAGTGGTTGTAGGTGTGGGTGGTGGTGGTGATGGTGGTGGTAAGAGCAGGGGATCCTTCAGATCTGGATGATCTGGCAGGTATCTGAGCCATTCACAAGGGCAACAAGGATGAGCCGGCACAGGAGAGTAGGGTCAGGTGTATATTTTGGAGCACCTCTGTATTTATGATTATTTTAAGTTTTGTTTATTGCATGTGCATGATGTGTGGGTTGCACTTGCGGAGATCAGAGAGGACACTTTGTGGAGTTGGTTCTCACCTTCCACCTTTATGAGGGTTCTGGGAATTAAATACAGGTCTCTGACCAGGCTGGTGTGGTGAGCACCTTCACCTGCTCAGCCTTCCTGCTAGAATGATGTTTGCATTTAGAATCAGAAGATAGTGAGGTTTCCAGGATGCAACCAGGGCAGCAGGAAACAGGTTCCTCCAGACAGGAATCAAAGGGAAAGGGGAATGAAGGGCTTTAGGCTGTGGCCATTCCATCACAGGCCTAAGAAATGAGCTTCAGATCTGGCAACAGGCAAACTCACCTGGAAGGTATGGTTCTGGGTGGGGTGAGGGGCAGGCACCCAATATAACAGTTTTAGGAAAAGGGGATAAAGGACAGGGGCGGTTCAGGAATTTTTCTCTTAAGTTGCAGATATGCGAGGGTAGCTGAGGGGGATTCGGGAATAAGGAAATATACTTGTAAGGTAGTGGATTTTGTAGCATACTGAAGGAACTGGTCCGGGACCAGTGAAAGATAAGTGAGATAGGTGAGAGTAGGAAGTGATTACAGACACACAGCCTTAAGAAGGAGACAAAGACCTTAGAAATGGTATAGAAGACTGAACTGTTTTTTTTTTTTTTTTTTTTTTTTTTTTTTTTTTTTTTTTTTTTTGGTGTTTTTTTTTTTTTTTTTGAGACAAGGTCTCAGCTGGCCAGGTTGACCTTGAATTCATGGAGTTCAAGGGGATTAAAGGGGTGTGCCACCATCCCTGATAGAACCAGGTGTTCTTAAGGGATAGAAGATGATCGTTGTGTGGTACCCATCACAAGTCTATTGTCTCGCAGCCTCCCGCTGTGGGATGCAGGAAGGCTGGCTCACTTGTGTTCTGCTTCCCCAGGTGCCATGCTATGCATTTGATGACAAGTTAAAGAAGCATGATTTAAACCCACTGATCAAGCTGAGTGGTGGCTACCTGGTAGATGATTCTGACCCTGAAACATCTCTGTTCATCAACGTGTGTCGAGACATAGGTACGTCTTTTCAGGAGGAAGGGTGGGGAGTGGTCATTACTTGCCCTGGCCCTTTTGACATGCACATTGCCATTCCTTCTCTAAGAAAGGTGTTGTCCTGAGGGTGTTCTCTGGACAGCTGCATCTGTCCGTCTCAGCAAATCTAGTCCTTCCCTCTGCCAACCCCAAACACATTCTATTCTAGCTCTTGCTTGTGTTGGTTTTCTCTGACAGATACTTTGGGATTTGGGGGTCCATGGTGAGGTTTGTTTCAGTTTGTTGTGTTTGCCCAACCCTGTGGCTTTGAGTGGAGGGTAAAAGGGACTGAGGGATGACAAAGGCTTTCAGAATATGACTGTGCTGTGTGCTTGGGATGAGGCTGGCTCTAGCTTCCTTTGTAGAACTGGAAGAGGCCAGCATATCTTTCCTTGATAACCAAAGGCTGTAAATGAAGGCCTTTATCTCAGAAGGGCTGTCTGGTTTTACTGTGTTCTTATTTATACTTGCTGAGCTCCTTCATGCTTATGCTTCCCTCATGGGCTCAGCACTGGAGCCCTGTAGACCAGGACTGCTCTCTCTGCTGTGCTAGCTACAGTTGTGCCATAAATAAAGAAATTGTACTGCCAAGTAATAAAAAGCAAAGAAAGAAGGAAAGAGGCCATAGTTCTCTGTTTTCCTTATGTTTCTTTCTTAATATATATGAGATGTTGGTGTTAGAAAAAATTGGGGGGGGGGTGGCTGGAGAGATGGCTCAGTGGATAAGAACACTTGCTGCTGTTCTTTCAGAAGTCCTGAGTTCAATTCCCAGCACCCACATGGTGGCTCACAACCATCTGTAATGAGATCTGGTGCCCTCTTCTGGCATGCAGGCATACATGCAGGGCACTCATACATAAATATAAATAAATAAATATTTAAAAAAAATTGAGGGGAAAAGCAGTTCAGTATATGACTCTTAGTGAGTTGTATATAAACACATTCCATCTTATTTGTATATTCTAACTAACAATTTAAAATAATAATTATACTCCATCCAGGACTGCCAGTAATCAGTGGTGATTTAAGGTTTTTCATGTGAGATTACAATAACTTAAGTTTGATCGTAAACTTCTGCAAAAGTGTGATGTTTTGGTTTGGAAAATATTGAAATTTCTAGTCCTTAAGTTCTACTTGGAAAACAAAATTACGTTCATTAAAAACAAATCCTTTTGAGTATTATTTTAATTCAGTAAGTATTTTGTTTTTTTCTCCAATTTTCTGGCAGTTTGGGAGAGATAAGCCTTTATTGTCTTTAAAGGTGGTCCTGTGTCCTCTGCTGTTCCTTCTTTAGCCGCAGGAAATTGCCCCGCACTAACTTTGAGGGTCCCTAAAGCCTCATGTCTGCTTTACGTGTGGCTGCTGTTTACTGACTTGCCTTTCCTTCTCCTTTGGGAACCAGGTGCTTTGCCTGTCATCAAAGCTCATGGCAGTTGCCTTGGGTGGAAGCAGGCAACTGTTTGGACTCCAGTTGGGTTTGGGGAGCTGGCAGGAGGCATAGTCTCCAGCATTGAGCCCATGTGATATAGTTGTCCAGCACAGCAGTTGCTGTGTATGGAAGTGTCTAGTCATCTGGGTTTCTGGCTGGCTGACAGGTGGCAGGGTGTCCCTCCCACTGTGACTGAGGTGGCCGTTGGCATCTTAGGGAGCTGTGGCTGGTTCCTTACATGTGCAGTGGTGTTTAACACTGTCTCTTGGCTACTTCAGTGGTTTGAGCCTAGCCTTCATCACCCTGAAGTCTCTGTCTTGGAGCTTAGGGCTGGGGAGGAGGACGAACCTAATGGAGGATTAGACACTGTATGATCCAGGGTCTAGTGGGGAGAGAGGGCAAGGGAAACAGAGAGGAAGGGAGGAAGGGAAGGACGGAGTCGTTCTCTAGGATGTGAGCCCACACCTGTCTAGGGCTTCTTCCCATTGACAGAGAGTCTTTTAACTTGTCCCCAGAATGCCCCGTTTTCTAGCGTTTCAAACTCAAAGGGACAATGCTAGTTAGAGTTAAGGGAAGATATAAACATTTGTAACCACCTGTGACATAGGAATGTCTGTCACTTGGGCCCCTTATGTGCTGGGCAGAGTAGTGCTTCTTGGCCCACATGTTATGTGGAAAGGTGAGAGGCTCACACAGAATCTAATGGATGGATTGTGACAATCCATTTGTTTATAGAGACCCGGACACAAGGATTTGCATGAGTTCTACTTGTGTGTCACCTGCTTTACTTTAAAGTCATCTGTGTTGTTTTGCAGACTCCCTTCGGGACCCAAGCACACAGCTGAGAGCCTGTCCTGCTGGCACTGCCGCCTGTCTGCTGAAGGGAGACCAGGCATTTGATGTTGGACGGCCTAAGGAAGGGCTGAAGCTAGTGAGCAAGGACAGGTCAGTCTGGGGCCACCTTGGTGGCTTGTAAGGTCCTCAGCAAGGGAGTCTGCCCTTTAGGGGGACTAATGGAGAAGAGAAGAGAATGGCAGCATCAAAGTGTGCTGTGTGTATGTGTGAAAATGTCATCGTGAGATCCATTGTTCTGTACAGTTAATACTGGTAAAAGATGAGAAAAAGAAGGGATTTGACTTCTAGAAGCCAGGGAAGCACAGCCCTTTCCAGCAGGCTGTGTCCTTGTCCTGTGTCATGCTGGTGTACATGGTGCTCACTTATTTATAGGTGACATTCATTTGGTTGTGAGACAGTCTTGCTGTGTAGCTCAGAGTAGCTTGGAATCCTTGATCCTGCTCAGTTTTTTATTTCGTGTCACTTGTCGAGTTTTCTTTAGCCTTTCTTTTGGAGAGAGAGGCGGGGCAGTTTGCTGGTGGTCTTCTGGCATGCATTTTCTTTCTAGTTGGGACATGGTGCGCACGCTTCCCAACCACTCTCTTGTGTACACAGGTCCCTGTATTGCCTATGGGCCTCAAGTTGGAACTGATGCAGTACTAGACTGTAAGCTTGTACCGTTAGAGCAGGGCCTGAACTGGAAGAGGCTGGGAGTTTTCTGTGTCTGTGTTAACTTGCTCACACTGCCATAAGCAAATACCCAGAGTGGGGCCTTCGAACAGGAGAAATTTATTTCCTCAACCACAATTTCAGAGACTAAGACAGAGCTCCAGACAGGTGTCCCCAAGACAGGATTTCTCTGTGTAACAGCTCTGGCTATCCTGGAACTTGTTCTGAAGACCAGGCTGGCCTTGAATTCAGGTTGGTTTCTTGTGTGACCTATCCCCTTGTCTTGTTAGAGGCCATCTTTCCTCTGTGTCTTGACACAGTCTTCTCTGGTCTGTGTTCTCATGTCCTCTCAACAGTAGCACTGTTGTGTGAGGTCCTGTTTATTCACCTCTTTAATGTCCTTGTGGTCTAGTAGGTGACTGATGGAGCATGTCTGTCAGGGCTGCACCTTTGGGAGCTGGGAGGGATTGTCCAGAGGACAAGTTGGTGATGGAGACCACAGCTGGTGGCTGAGGGCTCAGTGAATGTAGGGTACCATGGAGACCGTGGCTTGTCTATTGTTAGCGCTTGATTGGTGGAGCATGGGAGGTATGGGCAGGTCCCACAGGTGAGGCAGGAGCCTGCTGACTAGTATGAGTGCTTCCTGGCAGGGACATGTGTTGGACTTTGGGTGCAGCAGCCCTAGCCTGTGGCTGCTGTGCCTGCGGTAGGGTGACAGGTTGATATAAAGCTCTTCGGTTTGCACTTGGATGTTAGGGGAAGATCATGTGACCTTGTGGGGAAAATGTATTAGGTGTACTCAGTTGTGTTGAGCTTGTTTTATTAGGTCCTTACAAATTCTCTTTCTGCAGCAAGCCTCCGTTAGTATTTTTAGTGTGCATACTGATCGTATTTACTTGACTTTCGATAGGAAGATACTCTTTTATACTTTTTTAAAAATGGAAATATAACAATCTTGTTTTATTTTCCTCTGCTAGTCCACTCCCCAAATGTACTGACTGCTCAGGTCAGTGCATCAATTTGAATGTAATCTACACTTATGTAATGCAGTTTTTCCACATGGCTTTTGCAGGCTTGTTCTGAGTTACGTGAAGGAAGAGGCAGAAAAGCCAGACTTCTGTAATGGTCACAGCCCTGCAGTGACGATAACATTTGTGTGCCCGTCTGAGCGGAGAGAGGTGAGTGACTTGTCTCTAAGTTACTTTAAAGATGTGATCCTCAGGCAGACTTGCCCAAATGATCATGTGTCTGTGTTTGAGGCATGCAAGGGTGGCAAACTAAAGGACCTTGCGCTCTGGGTTGGGAGACAGCTTCTAAGAGCTTCAGCTCCTTGTGTGTGTTAGTTTAGAGATAGGGTCTCTTTGTGGACCCTCAGCTTCCCAAGTGCTGGGGTTGCAGGTGTGCACCAGGGTCTGGCTTTTTAAAAAGTGGGTTCTGGAGATCAAAATTACATGGGAATAACTTTACATACTGAGCTGTCTTCCCAGCCCTGAAGCCTGAGATTCTTGAAGGGAGGAAGTCCCTCCTGTCTCCGTCTTTCTTTGTCTCCTGCTTGCCATGCCTCTCACTCACAGCCATAGGCAGATTTATAACTCTGTCTCTTGGCTGCATTTAATTTCCATTTTATTTATTTACTTGCTTGTGACTGGGGTTGAGAACCAGGGCTTTGGGCATGCCAGCAGCTATTGTACTGGTGAGATGCTTTTAAATCTTGGAGAGAGGCAGTCAGGTGTCTTTTCCCCAATGCATAGTTAATTGTCCTATATCATAAAAGAGGGGAACAATTCACATGAAATAAATCTAACAACCTAACAATTTAGCTCTAAGTGATGACACCGATATCTAGAGGCAGAGTTCACTCATGGAAAGTTGGTAGAAGTAGTGGCACCAATTAGGTTACAAGTCTGAAGGCCCAGTGCCCAACAAACCCCCATGCCCACACCTACCTTGGGAAGGACAGTGAGTGGATGCTGGCTCCACTGCAGATGTTCCTTGAGGGCGTTGGAGACTAACTGACACAGCCTCAGTTATGCTTAGTCAGGTCAGCTGGGGTGCCAGACACTCAGCACCCATAGCATCAGAGTCAGGACATCCGCAAGAGATCTGGGGAGATGTAGTTACCTGAAGGGTCTCTTGTTGACAGGGTACCTGCATGGCTCTTGTGTGCTGAGGTACGTTGGAGACCAGCATCTGCTGAGTCTCTTGGAGCCTGGGTTTTTATGAGCCTTCTGAGGCCTTTCTTTCTTTCTTTCTTTCTTTCTTTCTTTCTTTCTTTCTTTCTTCTTCCTTTTTTCTTTTCTTTTTTTTTTTTTTTTTTTTTTTTTTTTTTTTTTTTTTATTACACTTTTTTCTCCCCATTTACATGCCAGAAGAGGGCACCAGATTGAATTGTAAATGGTTGTGAGCCACCATGTGGTTGCTGGGAATTGAACTTAGGGCCTCTGGAAGAGCAGTCAATGCTCTTAACCTCTGAGCCATCTCTCCAGCCCCGAGGCTTTTCTTGTCTTTGTAGACCTTTTGGCGTCTGCCCTGACTGGTGTGGGTCACCTGATCCAGGGTGTTGCTGTCAGCACATCCTGATGTCAGGACAGTGAGTCAGGTGCCTGTCTGGGTTGGTCTGCCAATCAAGTGAGAAAAGCAGGGCTTTCCTTTGTTTTCTGTTTGTTTGTTTGTTTTTCAAGACAGGATTTTTTTTTTTTTTTTTTTTTTTTTTTTCCCCGAGACAGGGTTTCTCTGTGGCTTTGGAGGCTGTCCTGTTACTAGCTCTTGTAGACCAGGCTGATCTTGAACTCACAGAGATCCTCCTGCCTCTGCCTCCCGAGTGCTGGGATTAAAAGTGTGTGCCACCACCGCCCGGCTCAAGACAGGATTTCTAACAGCCTTAGCTGTACAGGAACTCATTCTGTAGATTAGGCTGGCCTCAAACTCACAGAGATCCTCCTGCCTCTGCCTCCTGAGGGCTGGAATTAAAGACGTGCGACCTCCTTTGAATTTTTCTTCCCTTTTGTAGTAGAAATAAGAGGGCTGAATTCTGTTGCTGAACAGACGTGGTGTTTGCCCTGATTTTAGGCCAGTCACTGGCCTGTTTGGTACATGTGTGGTAGTCAAAGGGATACAAGCAAGCCATTGAGAGTCAGCTTGCCACTGAGCACCTCTATCTAGTTTTCATACTGCTATCTGCTTGATGGACCTCTTTCTGGCATTCTGAGTGCAGCATGCTGAGAAAGGGTCATGTCTGTAGACATGGACTCTTAATTCTTCTGAGATTCTCCAGGCATCTGTGTCACCAGAATGACTAACTACTGGAAGTCTGCTTGCCTCCTTCATACCACAAGAGATCTAAGACATTTCTTGGTGCTGTTTGTGGGTTTTGGGGGTCTTCTTCAATCTATTGCTTGGACAGAGTGTGTGCTTGTGTTGCCTTTGAGAAGTTTGTTTATGTAATCTTTGTTGACTTGTTGTATGCTTTGGCAGCTGTTATCTGATAAATATTTGTCTTGTTATGTTCTTTAAAAAAAAGATCATTGAATTTATGTACTGTAAAATTCACCTGTTTTGTTATACAGTTCAATGGGTCTAGCATTTTTGCATAATTGTGTATCCTTTACCATAATCTAATTGTAGAGACCCCCCTCTCCAGGAATGCTTTTGCCTGTTAGCAGTCAATTATTTTCTCCCTCGTCTTCTCACAACATACAAACCATATGAGTCTTCTTTTTTGTCATCGGATTTGCCCTTTTTGGATATGAATGAAACTGTGTAGTATGTAGGTCTTTGGTGTTGACCCTCAGCATTCAGCTCTGCAGCTCCTTGGCAGGTTGCCCAATGCTGGGCAGAAACATCAAGTTGTAGTCAAGCAGAGGAGGGTTGTGGCTGCAGTTCTGCCAGCTCATGGTGTGATCTGTGTGAACTGTGACTGGCCTCCAGCAGGTGTGCAGAAAACACTGAGGAGTTAAGGTACCTAGAGCATCATTGTTCTTCTGGTACAAGGACCAGTTTCTCTAAGGGTAAGAAGGAGGTGTGACTCATGAGCTGGGGACCTGCCAGCACCCTCCGTGGTTCCCACCAAAGATCAAAGCACAAGACAGCATTTGCTGTAGCTGGGAAAACCCTAGCTTCATCCAGAGCAGCTTTGTAAAAGAATTTTTAAAGTTTCATTTGTTTAATTATACATGCATGTGTAAGGGTCACAGGAAGAGGTCAGAGGACAGCTTGATTCTCTTCTACCATGTGTGTCCTAGAGATGGAACTCAGGTCATCTGCCAAGCTTAGCAGCAGGCACCTTTACCTGCTGAGCCATCCCACCTGCCCCAGAAGAACTTTTTATTTAGGTGTACATTTCGAGAGCGCTCTCTCTCTCTCTCTCTCTCTCTCTCTCTCTCTCTCTCTCTGTGTGTGTGTGTTGGCATACATGTGATGTGCATGGATGTGCAGGTTGTGTATGATGGCCAGAGGACCCTGGGTGTTGTTCTTCAGGAGCTGTCTACCCTGATATTTGGAGAAAGGGTCTCACTGGGACCTGAGGCTTGCCACATTCATCCAGGTTAGCCAACCATAGAGCCTTGGGCATGCTTCCTCCTCAGCACTGTGATTAGAGTGTGTACTATCACACATGACTTGTTACGTGGGTCAGGGCATTCACCTGGGGTCTTCATGCTTGTACAGCAAACACTTCACTGACTTAGCAATTTCCCAGCCCATGTTTTGATCTTTTGTGAGAGTCTCGCTATGTAGGTCAGCTCAGGAAGACCTCGAACCTGCAGTGCTCCTGCTGTAGCCTTTCAGGTGCTGGCATAACAGGTGTGTGTGACCACCCTGGCCCAGGAGTTTTGAGGGCAAGGGAGAGTGGTGCTCTTGCATGCCTTCAGGTTTGGAGCCACCCACAATGCTTTTCAGATTCTACTGATTCTCCAATGACAGAGTTTTAGAGTGGACTTGCTAACTGAACCTTGTGTGTCACTCACGGTGATCAGAGAGGATGTAGGGTAATGAGTGAGTACAAATGGAGAAAAAAGGTTAAAAAGAAGTCTTAGATGATTATACTGAGGTGGCCCAGTGGGCAGAGTGCTTTCTGTGCACAAGGATCTTAGTTTGAACCCCAGATACCCGTTCCTGTGACCTTAGTGCTGGGTGTTCCAGGAGGCAGGCAGGCCCTGGGTCTCCCTGGGCAGCCACTCTACCCAGCAGCACTCTCCAGGGGCATCTGATATGCTGTCTGCAAAACCCACAGAAAGCAAGGTGGGAGGAGATAGAGGAAGACATCTGAAGTTGACCTTGTGGCCTCCCAAACATGCACAGGTGAGCACATCTGCTCACACACGGGCCCACCCCCCCCTCCCTCCCTCCCTCCC